CACTATATGATTCAGAGTACCACTGAGTATGGCTCCATGTGTAACCAACTTCCCACAGCAAATGCACCACAATGCCACGCAACCGGAAGGAGAGCACTACAAAGACAAAGGTGAGTTGGAGATCCATGTTTTGAAACTTCACACAGCATTCTATGAGCTGATGAACGGACTCCAGTCTGAGTCATGCTGATAGTTGCATTGACTACTGAGCACCTCAAGTGTCAGCAGAGCATCAAATTCTTCCAGTAATTCTCAGAGAGCATGAGTTCAGCTGGTCAACATGTGCACTGAGTCCTGGGAACCCTCCTTCAGTCAATGTGATAGGCTAGTGGTTCAGCGGCAAGGAGCATGGCCTACAGCCAAGTTAGGGCTCATCACAAGAAGTACTGTATTTCTGAGAAAGTACCAAAGTGTTGAACTGTACTCTGTATTCACAGAACAGTTTTTTATTACATCAAGAATGCTCAAAGTAGCTGGATGTGGTTGTGCATGCCTGTAATTCCAGCACTTGAGAGGCTGAGGCAGGAGGATCATTGTGAGTTTGAGGTCAGCCTGAGCTACAAAGTGAGCTCAAAGCCAGCCTGAACTGCATAGTGAGACCTGTCTCAGAAAAACAAAAACAAAAAAAAACAAAACAAAACAAAACAATAATGCTCAAAGTATTAAACTGTACCCTGTATTCACAAAATACTTTTTTTCTTCAAATCAATTACAATTCAGGTTATCTGACAGATATCACAAAACTGCCCACCATAGTCAGATGACTACTTTAGAATTTTCCCTATGAACTTTCTACTATGGTTGAGAAATCACATATGCATCCCACATAGAACTATAAAGTACAGAGCAAGACCCATTCTTAGACACCTTGAAACAGCCACAACAGATGTTTGGAGTAAGCAGCATAAACTTGAATCTCCTTGCTACCGAGAAATCTCCCTCCCTACCACCACACACACACACACACACACACACACACACACACACCTGTAAACATGCATGCCTGGTGTGCAATTTAATCATGTGTTTGGGCAAATAATTCAAAGCCTGTCCTGAGGGTGCACACACACTTCTTGAGAGTTAGAAAGTCAATTTTTACAACAGGGAAACATTTTGGTTTTCTGTTTTTTGCTTTTATTGTGGTACTGGGGATTGAACCTAAGGCCTTAATGCATGTTAAGAGTACTACACTACCGAGCCACATCCCCAGCAAAATAGCCAAACATATTAGGAAAATTATTTCTTCTCTTCCATGAAACATAAACTTCAGAAGGCAATGGGGTGAATGATCAAGCTGTGCTGCTGTTGTTTTTATTACATTGAAATGAGCACGTGAAATAAAAGACACTGGCAAAATCTAGGCAACACTATTTCTTTAGCATGGTTTCGAGAGGGAAAATGACTAGCTTTAATATTAAGCTCCACAAAGCCAACTGCTCATTGCTTAAATTATTATAAAAGACTTTTACACAGTTCAGATTTTGTGGTTAAATGGTACTATAAAATTCTATTTACAGAGCACCAAAGATTGAGTATTTGTATAGAATGTTTCCATAACAGAATTTCACCTGCAATGGCATGTCATCACTGTTGAGCTGCTTAAAACAGTTACTATGGCCAAGTGCGGTAGCACATGCCTGTAATCCCACCACTTGGGCAACTAAATCAGGAGGACTGCTGTGAGTTCAGTCCAGCCTGAATTACAAAGTATGATTCTTGTCTCAAAAAATAAATGAATAAAATAAAAAACAAAAGACTCATTATAATATGAAAAACTTCATATATAAGTTAGCTATGAAATAAAAGACAGACAATAGAAGAAAAAAGTTATTGTAACTCAGCATGGAAAATATATCTAAAGGAATACTTCGACTTAGTACAATTGTGTTCCATCTTTTATATGTGTTTTGGCTTATAATCTGGTATGTTTGATATATATATATATATATATATATATATATAATATATATTGATATTGATATATATATCTTATATATATATATATATATATATATATTTCTTTTTAATAGTCTTATTTTTAATCTGTATACATGACAAGGGTTTATAAGAGAAATGCATGAATGGGATTCTGGCAAAATACAAGGATGGTGGAAAATAAAGAATAGAAATGTGTCATGGACATGTATCAACTCCCAAGAACCAACATGATTATTATGTACTGCAAACACATACCAATAGAAGTTTAAAAAAAAAAAAGGCAGTCATGAATTCAGAGAAGACAACTAAAATGAGTGAGATTTCATAACTTTCCAGCAGAAAGGGTTCCTAGGGATTCGAGTGCAACGCTAGTGTCAGGGCCTTTGCACTCTGAGTTCCACACAGTACTGGCTTCACTGAGAAGTGGACACCTGATGTTTCCCATATACAAATTTATCCAAGAACCCACCAACTTTCACCTTTTCTCAAGACCAGTGTGCCCATCTTACCTTAGGCTTTCAAACTTTCCCTACTGTCAAGTTCAAATTGTACCTCTTAGACATTACATACTGTCTGATTTTGTTGCAGAAAGCTTTTTGATTGATATTTTATTAATCATCTCACTAGGAAAATGTCTCAACCTATCTAGTTCACTTATAACTCTAGTTTTGGGTGTGATCAGCTTGCACAACCAATCCTACATCAGAGAAGTGTACATACTTCCCTGATATGTTGGTGCCTGTGCTCCCCTATGCAAAATCATTCGGAACAGTATATATTATTTTCAGAATCTATCTTTATGTGGGCCTAGGGATGGTATGTCAAGCCAGTACGCTCTCACTTATACTCCACTCCTCAGCCCCTTAAGATTTAGTAGCGGATTATAGTTCAATAATACACTGTAAAGTAGAGATCCAATCTCAGATAAAATGTAAAATTATATCACGGTAAATGCTTCTGGAGGACCACTTGTGTAAACAATAGAAGTCACCACAGTGACCTTAATTATAGCTTATTTAGGACTTGTGTCCAAGTTTTAAAACATACACATGCACATATATAATTCTATCAAACTGAGAAAAAGCCACACGATGCATGAACAACTGTAACAGTCATTTGACAGTTGAGAAAACTGAAGCCTAAGCTAAATAACTTTGTCAGACAGCTAACTAGAGAATTAACCAGGATTCAGCAGCCAAAGCTCAAATGGCCAAGCCTAACTATTACCCATTCTATCATCTAGAGAGACAACTCTGCAAAGGAAGACTGAGAATACACATGTGAGTTCAGTCAAAGTTTCCAAATGTCCTCTGTTCTCCAGACATGATGGCTTAAAACAGGCTTTAGGTCAATGGAGGCAAACCTATGGCATGCATGTTGCAGCAAGCTCTTTGTACCACTGAAAGCTCTATCACTGCTTTAGGTTCATCTTTCAAAAGACAATGTATTTACAATAGCTAGAAATTACACTTAAAATCAGCTAAGAATGATAGATAACTCAGAAAACTGTTTCATGAGATGGAGAAATAACAAAAAGCTTACTTTTTTTGAAGTTGACGATTTTTTTCATCGTTTCCTCCCAATTTGCTAAGTTGGAAGGCATCCTGAGATGAGTTTTCTGTTTCAGAAACAACAGCTACAAAAAAGAAGAAAATTCACCAAATTTAGAGTAAATTAACAGGGCAAAGTTTCATGTTTCACAAATAGGAAGAAGATTCTGCAGGTAGAGAGCTGAATCATTTCTGAAGTGTAAGCTTCTGAGCAAACACATATAAATGTTCAAGCATATAAATTAGCATATAAGAGGGTTATTCATTCACGCCAAATGAATGTCCACTGCTCTGCTCTGGTTCACATGTGGGCAGACTGGGCTGTCTGGAGAATGCTCAGCCATGATTGCTTGTGGGCACTGGACACCTGTGGCAGGTACATAGGAAAAAGCTCATGCTCTCCCAATCCCAGCAGTTAGGACAGCTGCCTAAAACCGGCCCACCTTGTCTTGGTGATTCTTTGCCAGTTTGTCCAGGCGGACCCTTTTTCTTTTTGCCAAACAAACGACCAATGGAGGACTTGATCCTCTTCTTCTTTGGGGCTTTGTGGAGCGCGTCCTGCCTGCTGTCACTGGTACTGGGATTGTTCACAGGACCTTCCTGGGAGCCTGTTGAGCTTCAAAGAAATAAAATGGATTTTTACCACCCTCTTCCCAGCTCCACAGTCCATTCACACGTACAAGAACAGTCTGCATTTTTAATATTCCTACCTTCAACTTCCTAAAAAACGTTTCGAGTCTCTTACACACAGTACAATATGCATTGTGATGCAGGGTCCCAGTAATGCTTCCACAGACCTGTGTCTGGAAAGCCAAGATTCTGATGTGCTCCCTGCTCAGAGCAGGCCTGTACTCTGGCCTGCCTTGTTTGGACACATAAGGGAACACCCTCTGCAGGGGCCTTGCTCAGGCACTGAGGGATGCACTCAGTCAACAGGAAAGAAAACAAGGTTTCAGAAGCCTGACTGTAATTATAACTTATTTAGGAATTGTGTCCATGTTATAAAACATATACATGCACATATATAATTCTATTGAACTGAAAAACAGCCACATGATGTATGAACAACTGTAACTGCCATTTGACAGTTAAGAAAACTGAAGCACAGGATAAGTAACTTTGTCAGAGACACACAGCTAACTAGAGAATTAACCAGGATTCAGCGGCCAGAGCTCAAATGGCCAAGCCTAACTATTACCCATTCTATCATCCTGGGAGACAACTCTGAAAAGGTAGACTGAGAATACATGTGTGAATTCAGTCAAGATTTCCAAATGTCCTCTGTTCTCCAGACATGATGGCTTAAAACAGGCTTTAGGTCAATGGAGGCAAACCTATGGTGTGCATGCTGCAGCAAGCTCTTTGTATCACTGGAAGCTCTATCACTGCTTTAGGTTCATCTTTCAAAAGACAATGTATTTACATAGCTAGAAATTACACTTACAATCAGCTAAGAATGACTGTTAACTCAGAAAAATGTTTCATGAGATGGAGAAATAACAAAAAGCTTACTGTTTTTGAAGTTGATGATTTTTTTCATCCTTTCCTCCCAATTTGCTAAGTTGGAAGGCATCCTGAGATGAGTTTTCTGTTTCAGAAACAACAGCTACAAAAAAGAAGAAAATTCCCCAAAGTTAGAGTAAATTAACATGGCAAAGTTATATGTTTCACAAATAGGAAGAAGATTCTGCAGGTAGAGAGCTGAATAATTTCCGAAGGGTAAGCTTCCGAGCAAACACATATAAATGTTCAAGCATATAAATTAGCATATAAGAGGGTTATTCATTCACGCCAAATGAATGTCCACTGCTCGGCTCTGGTTCACATGTGGGCAGACTGGGCTGTCTGGAGAATGCTCAGCCATGATTCCTTGTGGGCACTGGACACCTGTGGCAGGTACATAGGAAAAAGCGCATGCTCTCCCAATCCCAGCAGTTAGGACAGCTGCCTAAAACCGGCCCACCTTGTCTTGGTGATTCTTTGCCAGTTTGTCCAGGCGGACCCTTTTCCTTTTTGCCAAACAAACGACCAGTGGAGGACTTGATGCTCTTCTTCTTTAGAGCTTTGTGGAGTGGGTCCTCCCTGCTGTCACTGCTGCTGGGAACGCTCACAGGAACATTCTGGGAGCCTATTGAGCTTGAAGGAAATAAAATGGACTTTTACCACCCTCTTCACAGCTCCACAGTCCATTCACATGTACAAGAAAAGTGTGCATTTTTAATATTCCTACCTTCAACTTCCTAAAGAATTTTTCAACTCTCTTACACACAATACAATATTCATTGTGATTCAGGGTCCCAGTAATGCTTCCACAGACCAGTGTCTGGAAAGCCAAGATTCTGATGTGCTCCCTGCTCAGAGCAGGCCTGTACTCTAGCCTGCTTGGTTTGGACACATAAGGGAACACCCTCTGCAGGGGCCTTGCTCAGGCACTGAGGGATGCACTCAGTCAACAGGAAAGAGAACAAGGTCTCAGAAGCCTGACTATAATTGTAACATATTTAGGACCTGTGTCCATGTTTTAAACCATATACGTGCACATATATAATTCTATTGAACTGAAAAAAAACCACATGATGTATGAACAACTGTAACTGCCATTTCACAGTTTAGAGAACTGAAGCACAAGCTAAGTAACTTTGTCAGAGACACACAGCTAACTAGAGAATTAACCAGGATTCAGCGGCCAGAGCTCAAATGTCTAAGCCTAACTCTTAACCACTCTGTCCACTAGGGAGACAACTCTGCAAAGGGAGACTGAGAATAAATGTGTGAGTTAAGTCAAAATTTCCAAATGTCCTCGGTTCTCCAGACATGATGGCTTAAAACAGCCTTTAGGTCAATGGAGGCAAACCTATGGCGTGCATGCTGCAGCAAGCTCTTTGTATCACTGAAAGCTCTATCACTGCTTTAGGTTCATCTTTCAAAAGACAATGTATTTACATAGCTAGAAATTACACTTAAAATCAGCTAAGAATGACTGTTAACTCAGAAAACTGTTTCATGAGATGGAGAAATAACAAAAAGCTTACTGTTTTTGAAGTTGATGATTTTTTTCATCCTTTCCTCCCAGTTTGCTAAGTTGTAAGGCATCCTGAGATGAGTTTTCTGTTTCAGAAACAACAGCTACAAAAAAGAAGAAAATTCCCCAAATTTAGAGTAAATTAACATGGCAAAGTTATATGTTTCACAAATAGGAAGAAGATTCTGCAGGTAGAGAGCTGAATCATTTCTGAAGGGTAAGCTTCCGAGCAAACACATATAAATCTTCAAGAGTATAAATTAGCACATAAGAGGGTTATTCATTCAAGCCAAATGAATTTCCACTGCTCTGCTTTGTTTCACATGTGGGCAAACTGGGCTGTCAGAAGAACGCTCAGCCATGACTCCTCATGGGCACTGGACACCTGTAGCAGGCACATAGGAAAAATCTCAGGCTCTCCCAATCCCAGCAGTTAGGACAGCTGCCTAAAACCGGCCCACCTTGTCTTGGTGATTCTTTGCCAGTTTGTCCAGGCAGAACCTTATTCTTTTTGCCAAACAAACGACCAGTGGAGGACTTGATGCTCTTCTTCTTTGGGGCTTTGTGGAGTGCGTCCTGCCTGCTGTCACTGGTACTGGGATTGTTCACAGGACCTTCCTGGGAGCCTGTTGAGCTTCAAAGAAATAAAATGGATTTTTACCACCCTCTTCCCAGCTCCACAGTCCATTCACACGTACAAGGACAGTCTGCATTTTTAATATTCCTACCTTCAACTTCCTAAAAAACGTTTCGAGTCTCTTACACACAGTACAATATGCATTGTGATGCAGGGTCCCAGTAATGCTTCCACAGACCTGTGTCTGGAAAGCCAAGATTCTGATGTGCTCCCTGCTCAGAGCAGGCCTGTACTCTAGCCTGCCTTGTTTGGACACATAAGGGAACACCCTCTGCAGGGGCCTTGCTCAGGCACTGAGGGATGCACTCAGTCAACAGGAAAGAAAACAAGGTTTCAGAAACCTGACTGTAATTGTAACTTATTTAGGAATTGTGTCCATGTTATAAAACATATACATGCACATATATAATTCTATTGAACTGAAAAACAGCCACATGATGTATGAACAACTGTAACTGCCATTTGACAGTTGAGAAAACTGAAGCACAGGATAAGTAACTTTGTCAGAGACACACAGCTAACTAGAGAATTAACCAGGATTCAGCGGCCAGAGCTCAAATGGCCAAGCCTAACTATTACCCATTCTATTATCCTGGGAGAACACTCTGAAAAGGTAGACTGAGAATACATGTGTGAATTCAGTTAAGACTTCCAAATGTCCTCTGTTCTCCAGACATGATGGCTTAAAACAGGCTTTAGGTCAGTGGAGGCAAACCTATGGCGTGCATGCTGCAGCAAGCTCTTTGTATCACTGAAAGCTCTATCACTGCTTTAGGCTCATCTTTCAAAAGACAATGTATTTACATAGCTAGAAATTACACTTAAAATCAGCTAAGAATGACTGTTAACTCAGAAAAATGTTTCATGAGATGGAGAAATAACAAAAAGCTTACTGTTTTTGAAGTTGACGATTTTTTTCATCCTTTCCTCCCAATTTGCTAAGTTGGAAGGCATCCTGAGATGAGTTTTCTGTTTCAGAAACAACAGCTACAAAAAAGAAGAAAATTCCCCAAATTTAGAGTAAATTAACATGGCAAAGTTATATGTTTCACAAATAGGAAGAAGATTCTGCAGGTAGAGAGCTGAATCATTTCTGAAGTGCAAGCTTCTGAGCAAACACATATAAATGTTCAAGCGTATAAATTAGCATATGAGAGGGTTATTCATTCAAGCCAAATGAATTTCCACTGCTCTGCTTTGTTTCACATGTGGGCAAACTGGGCTGTCAGAAGAACGCTCAGCCATGACTCCTCGTGGGCACTGGACACCTGCAGCAGGCACATAGGAAAATCTCAGGCTCTCCCAATCCCAGCAGTTAGGACAGCTGCCTAAAACCGGCCCACCTTGTCTTGGTGATTCTTTGCCAGTTTGTCCAGGCAGAACCTTATTCTTTTTGCCAAACAAACGACCAGTGGAGGACTTGATGCTCTTCTTCTTTGGGGCTTTGTGGAGTGCGTCCTGCCTGCTGTCACTGGTACTGGGATTGTTCACAGGACCTTCCTGGGAGCCTGTTGAGCTTCAAAGAAATAAAATGGATTTTTACCACCCTCTTCCCAGCTCCACAGTCCATTCACACGTACAAGGACAGTCTGCATTTTTAATATTCCTACCTTCAACTTCCTAAAAAACGTTTCGAGTCTCTTACACACAGTACAATATGCATTGTGATGCAGGGTCCCAGTAATGCTTCCACAGACCTGTGTCTGGAAAGCCAAGATTCTGATGTGCTCCCTGCTCAGAGCAGGCCTGTACTCTAGCCTGCCTTGTTTGGACACATAAGGGAACACCCTCTGCAGGGGCCTTGCTCAGGCACTGAGGGATGCACTCAGTCAACAGGAAAGAAAACAAGGTTTCAGAAACCTGACTGTAATTGTAACTTATTTAGGAATTGTGTCCATGTTATAAAACATATACATGCACATATATAATTCTATTGAACTGAAAAACAGCCACATGATGTATGAACAACTGTAACTGCCATTTGACAGTTGAGAAAACTGAAGCACAGGATAAGTAACTTTGTCAGAGACACACAGCTAACTAGAGAATTAACCAGGATTCAGCGGCCAGAGCTCAAATGGCCAAGCCTAACTATTACCCATTCTATTATCCTGGGAGAACACTCTGAAAAGGTAGACTGAGAATACATGTGTGAATTCAGTTAAGACTTCCAAATGTCCTCTGTTCTCCAGACATGATGGCTTAAAACAGGCTTTAGGTCAATGGAGGCAAACCTATGGCGTGCATGCTGCAGCAAGCTCTTTGTATCACTGAAAGCTCTATCACTGCTTTAGGTTCATCTTTCAAAAGACAATGTATTTACATAGCTAGAAATTACACTTAAAATCAGCTAAGAATGACTGTTAACTCAGAAAACTGTTTCATGAGATGGAGAAATAACAAAAAGCGTACTGTTTTTGAAGTTGACGATTTTTTTCATCCTTTCCTCCCAGTTTGCTAAGTTGGAAGGCATCCTGAGATGAGTTTTCTGTTTCAGAAACAACAGCTACAAAAAAGAAGAAAATTCACCAAATTTAGAGTAAATTAACATGGCAAAGTTATATGTTTCACAAATAGGAAGAAGATTCTGCAGGTAGAGAGCTGAATCATTTCTGAACTGTAAGCTTCTGAGCAAACACATATAAATGTTCAAGCGTATAAATTAGCATATAAGAGGGTTATTCATTCAAGCCAAATGAATGTCCACTGCTCTGCTTTGTTTCACATGTGGGCAAACTGGGCTGTCAGAAGAACGCTCAGCCATGACTCCTCGTGGGCACTGGACACCTGCAGCAGGCACATAGGAAAAATCTCAGGCTCTCCCAATCCCAGCAGTTAGGACAGCTGCCTAAAACCGGCCCACCTTGTCTTGGTGATTCTTTGCCAGTTTGTCCAGGTGGACCCTTTTTCTTTTTGCCAAACAAACGACCAGTGGAGGACTTGATGCTCTTCTTCTTTGGGGCTTTGTGGAGCGCGTCCTGCCTGCTGTCACTGGTACTGGGATTGTTCACAGGACCTTCCTGGGAGCCTGTTGAGCTTCAAGGAAATAAAATGGATTTTTACCACCCTCTTCCCAGCTCCACAGTCCATTCACACGTACAAGAACAGTCTGCATTTTTAATATTCCTACCTTCAACTTCCTAAAAAACGTTTCGAGTCTCTTACACACAGTACAATATGCATTGTGATGCAGGGTCCCAGTAATGCTTCCACAGACCTGTGTCTGGAAAGCCAAGATTCTGATGTGCTCCCTGCTCAGAGCAGGCCTGTACTCTAGCCTGCCTTGTTTGGACACATAAGGGAACACCCTCTGCAGGGGCCTTGCTCAGGCACTGAGGGATGCACTCAGTCAACAGGAAAGAAAACAAGGTTTCAGAAGCCTGACTGTAATTGTAACTTATTTAGGAATTGTGTCCATGTTATAAAACATATACATGCACATATATAATTCTATTGAACTGAAAAACAGCCACATGATGTATGAACAACTGTAACTGCCATTTGACAGTTGAGAAAACTGAAGCACAGGATAAGTAACTTTGTCAGAGACACACAGCTAACTAGAGAATTAACCAGGATTCAGCGGCCAGAGCTCAAATGGCCAAGCCTAACTATTACCCATTCTATTATCCTGGGAGAACACTCTGAAAAGGTAGACTGAGAATACATGTGTGAATTCAGTTAAGACTTCCAAATGTCCTCTGTTCTCCAGACATGATGGCTTAAAACAGGCTTTAGGTCAGTGGAGGCAAACCTATGGCGTGCATGCTGCAGCAAGCTCTTTGTATCACTGAAAGCTCTATCACTGCTTTGGGTTCATCTTTCAAAAGACAATGTATTTACATAGCTAGAAATTACACTTAAAATCAGCTAAGAATGACTGTTAACTCAGAAAAATGTTTCATGAGATGGAGAAATAACAAAAAGCTTACTGTTTTTGAAGTTGATGATTTTTTTCATCCTTTCCTCCCAATTTGCTAAGTTGGATGGCATCCTGAGATGAGTTTTCTGTTTCAGAAACAACAGCTACAAAAAAGAAGAAAATTCCCCAAATTTAGAGTAAATTAACATGGCAAAGTTATATGTTTCACAAATAGGAAGAAGATTCTGCAGGTAGAGAGCTGAATCATTTCTGAAGTGTAAGCTTCCGAGCAAACACATATAAATGTTCAAGCATATAAATTAGCATATGAGAGGGTTATTCATTCACGCCAAATGAATGTCCACTGCTCTGCTCTGGTTCACATGTGGGCAGACTGGGCTGTCTGGAGAATGCTCAGCCATGATTCCTTGTGGGCACTGGACACCTGTGGCAGGTACATAGGAAAAAGCTCATGCTCTCCCAATCCCAGCAGTTAGGACAGCTGCCTAAAACCGGCCCACCTTGTCTTGGTGATTCTTTGCCAGTTTGTCCAGGTGGACCCTTTTTCTTTTTGCCAAACAAACGACCAGTGGAGGACTTGATGCTCTTCTTCTTTGGGGCTTTGTGGAGCGCGTCCTGCCTGCTGTCACTGGTACTGGGATTGTTCACAGGACCTTCCTGGGAGCCTGTTGAGCTTCAAAGAAATAAAATGGATTTTTACCACCCTCTTCCCAGCTCCACAGTCCATTCACACGTACAAGAACAGTCTGCATTTTTAATATTCCTACCTTCAACTTCCTAAAAAACGTTTCGAGTCTCTTACACACAGTACAATATGCATTGTGATGCAGGGTCCCAGTAATGCTTCCACAGACCTGTGTCTGGAAAGCCAAGATTCTGATGTGCTCCCTGCTCAGAGCAGGCCTGTACTCTGGCCTGCCTTGTTTGGACACATAAGGGAACACCCTCTGCAGGGGCCTTGCTCAGGCACTGAGGGATGCACTCAGTCAACAGGAAAGAAAACAAGGTCTCAGAAGCCTGACTGTAATTGTAACTTATTTAGGAATTGTGTCCATGTTATAAAACATATACATGCACATATATAATTCTATTGAACTGAAAAACAGCCACATGATGTATGAACAACTGTAACTGCCATTTGACAGTTGAGAAAACTGAAGCACAGGATAAGTAACTTTGTCAGAGACACACAGCTAACTAGAGAATTAACCAGGATTCAGCGGCCAGAGCTCAAATGGCCAAGCCTAACTATTACCCATTCTATCATCCTGGGAGACAACTCTGAAAAGGTAGACTGAGAATACATGTGTGAGTTCAGTCAAAATTTCCAAATGTCCTCTGTTCTCCAGACATGATGGCTTAAAACAGGCTTTAGGTCAATGGAGGCAAACCTATGGCGTGCATGCTGCAGCAAGCTCTTTGTATCACTGAAAGCTCTATCACTGCTTTAGGTTCATCTTTCAAAAGACAATGTATTTACATAGCTAGAAATTACACTTAAAATCAGCTAAGAATGACTGTTAACTCAGAAACCTGTTTCATGAGATGGAGAAATAACAAAAAGCTTACTTTTTTTGAAATTTTTGATTTTTTTCAGCCTTTCCTCCCAATTTGCTAAGTCGGAACGCATCCTGAGATGAGGTTTCTGTTTCAGAAAGAACAGCTATTAAAAAATCAGAAATGCCCCCAAATTTACAGTAAATTAACATGGCAAAGTTATATGTTTCACAAATAGGTTGAAGGTTCTGCAGGTAGAGAGCTGAATAATTTCTGAAGGGTAAGCTTCCAAGCAAACACATACAAATGTTCAAGAGTGTAAAGTAGCACTTATGAGGGTTATTCATTCACGCCAAATGAATGTCCACTGCTCTGCTTTGGTTCACACATGGGCAGACTGAGAAAGCAGACTGGGCTTTTCTGGAGAACCCTCAGCCATGACTCCACGTGGGCACTGCGCACCTGCGGCAGGCACACAGGACAAAGTTCACGTTCTCCCATTCCCAGCAGTTAGGACAGCTGCCGAAACCCCACCCACCTTGTCCTGGTGATTCTTTGCCAGTTTGTCCAGGCCGACCCTTTTCCTTTTTGCCAAACAAACGACCAATGGAGGACTTGATGCCCTTCTTCTTTGGGGCTTTGTGGGGCGAGTCTTGCCTGCCGTCACTGCTACTGGGATTGCTCACAGGACCATCCTGGGCACTTTTTGATCTTGAAGGAAAGAAAATGGACTTTTACCACATGCCCTCTTTAGAACTCCACAGTCCACTCACATGTACCAAAACAGTCTGCATTTTTAATATTCCTACTTCAACTCCCTGAAGATCCTTTCCAGTCTCTTACCCACAGCACACTATGCATAGCAATGCAGAGTCCCAGTAATGCTTCCACAGACCTATGTCTGGAAAGCCAAGATTCTGATGTTGCTCCCTGCTCAGAGGAGGCCTGTACTCTAGCCTGCCTGGTTTGGACATCTAAGGGAACACCCTCTGCAGGGGCCTTGCTCAGCCAGTGAGGTTTACACTCAGCCCTCAGGAAAGAGAACAAGGTCTCAGAAGCCAGAACTGGAATTCCACCTTCCCTCTCAGCAGCTCCTGCAGGCTGGTTCCTTGGATCCTGCTCTCCTGCAAAGTGAGAGCTGTACTATCTCTCAGGACACTGTGGAGACCAATGTGCCTGCTTGATCATACTGCCTGGTATGGAACAAAAGCTTCTAAGAGGAAGTGTGGAAAACAACAGTCTATAAGTAACCAAGCCTTCATGGCCTCCTGATGGAACATGCTTCCTAAAGGGATAGGGACAATGTGGGACTCTCAAGAGCTTAGAAGACCCAGAGTGTGGGAGGGTACCTGAGAGGCACCGATTGTCCACAGAATAGCACGATCCAGAACCTGCCACATCCGTGTGGCAAATTCTTCACCAGGAATAGAAAGAAAGTTCTTAAAAGAAGTGAGTGTGTGGGATCTGAAGAAATGGAGCTTTTCTCTCAAGTGCTAATTTCAAATAATTCCTATTCTTTCTAAACTTTGCCCAAACAGATGGCCTTTTCCACTGGATGTCACTACAGCCGCAGAACAGGAGAACACATTCTAGGTCTAACGTTTAAATAATCACAACCAAATGAGCTTGCTGAGAATTCTTTAAAAACTTGGTTTTTCTCACAGGAAAAGATTAATAGATGTTCTTAAAAACTAAGACAAGCAGGTTTCTCAGGGGTCTGGTGGCCTACGAGACCTGCTCCTTACTTTTGCATGTCCCTGATGTCCTCGTGGCTGACTATTTGCAACGCCCCTGTGTGCAGCCTGTCTAGCTGAAGGGACTTCGGAGAGGAGAGAGGGGAAGTTTCACATTTTATCGTTGTCTTGTCATCTCGTTCTTCTTCTCTGCAAGCTAGCAACTGAGGAGTGAAAAAACAACATCAGCTAACAGTACATTATAAGAAAACACATCACATAGGCTTTAAATAACATAAACTGACTCAAAACCTATTAGCTAAACTTTCTACCTGTCCTGAGAAGTCTCATTTTAATTGAATGCCAACCTGAAGGCCTGTTTGTCTGGGGGAAATGGACCACATAGCAGAGAGAGAGCAGGGCAGGTTGACCTATAGCCTTCCTTCATGGAAGCCCCGGGAAGCCCAGGGACAGCATCACCCCCCCTTCAAGATTCTGTTCTCCGTACAACCTCAGGTACCTCTGAGGATAGTTACTGAGGGACAGTGAAGTCCTAAACGAAGCCTGTTCACTGCACTTTATCACTTCAGGTTAACAAAGTTACTCTCATTACTGAAGAGCCTGTGACACATATCTTCAGTTACTGATGTCACTCAAAGGAACACTAGTGGGGGCCGAAGCCTCAGGGAAAATGTCAATACTTTTACCTCTAGCAAGAAACAAGACAAGGACAGCATGAGCGAAGACCCAAATATGCATGTGTGTGGCTTCTGTTTCTCACTGTGTGGACCAAATGTTATGAGCAGAAGCATTTGCATGCAGCCTAAAACCCTACTTCCATGTGGCTTCATAAAATAATCCTGGGTTTTGGGTTTGCATATTATCTTTTTTTGAAGTCCTGCAATGTCTCCAATGTTTTGCTTTTATTGGTTTTGTTCTTTAATGTTTTCAGTTTTATTATAACTGATGATATAGGCAATTCTTTTTAAGATAGCAAGAGGCATTATGGTAACCAATGATCATCACTTTGTCTTCCGTTTTTATATTATGTACTATATCCATTCTTTTGATTTGACTGACTCTGTTTTGTTATGTCACATTGGATTTTATTCTCTTCAAATAGAAAGTAATAAGAACGTGGGAGTAATAAAACCCAAAATGTATAATTGTCATAGTAAAAAAGAGAGGAAAAGAAAGTGCTCTAAAGGATATAATTGCATGTATATTTAAGTGTATAAGATAGATAACCATATTGCTAAGTTTTTGTGGGATCATTGAACAGAATTGTTTGTAGTCTCACAGTTTGAATGTCTACTTTATATGCTTTAATTTTGTAATCTGAACAACCATTTCTAAGATGACAGTATGTAATCTATTAACTAGTGACTTCCTACTGTTTATTTTTTTTTTGAAATTCTGTATCACTTGTATCCTTTTTCTGTTTTTTTTTTTTCTTTTTCTCCTTAAATAAAAAAATAATAATAATCCTGGGTATATTATTAAAAGAGGGTCACGCAGACCCTGGGATTTCTTTTAGGGGATGGCCCATGAGTATGCCTATGTGTTGAAGAAGGCAGGACTGTGGAAATAGTGCATATGTGAACTCTTTCAGGGTCTGGTTAGGCCCTGTTTAGAAGGTTGTTATTTTCGGGTTTTGAAGCAGGACTAGATTTCATGAAACATTCATGGTGAACAACAAGTGGTGAATAGTTAATTTATTTATCTGTACAATGGTATAAAGGATACAGATTCCATTATAGTCCTGTAGCAGCTCACTGAAGACCACCTAGACTAGTGTGAGCTGAGAGCATTTAGGATATAATTTTTTTTTTGTCTTTTTCCTTTTTATTGGTGCTGGGGATCGAACTCACGACTGCCTGCTTACAAGGCAGGCGTTTATGCTGCTGAGCTAAACTTCCAGCCCGCTAGGATATAATCTTAACAGATAAACAGATAAATTCTGTATCTTTCTCTCTTTTTTTTGAGATAAGGTTTCATTATACAGTTCTGGCTGGCCATGAACTCACATGATAGCCCAGGCTGGCTTCAAACTCCAGCAGTCCTCCCTTATCAGCCTCCTGAGTGCTGGGATTACAGGCATATATCACCTTGTCTGGCTCTCATTTCTAATTGTAGTAACAAAACAAAAGACTGTCGGGGGCTGGGGTAACCAGAGCTCACTTACTTAGCTTGTTTGAGGCCCTGTGTTTAACCGCCAGCAATCTCATCTCTAAAAAAGTCCATCAAGCTTGAAATCAACAACATGAATCATAAAAGTTCAAAAAAACTTTTTGGGAGGGAAAAAGAAATCAAACTTAGGACATTGTTTGCCAGGCATCATTTAAATTTCACGTTAAAATAATCATTTGTTAAAATAGAAAAGAAAAAAGAAGAGGTAAGGCACTATACGTATGCTCCACCCACAAAAAGAGATTCTTGCACCAAGACTCCCCTACACTAGCCCCTGCTCTGCCCAGAGCCTTCCAGGCTCACTGAACCAGGTCTTCATTCTGCCTCTGTTCTCTTGTGGGAGGAAAGCACAAGGCTAGGGCCCACTGCCTTGTCTCAGACATGTCTACAAGTGCCAAGAAGTCACCTTAGTCTGCCCAGTAAAACTGAAATGAAGAAGTAACCATCCCATATCGCTCTTTGTCTGGCCCATATTTGCTGTCCTTAGACTCACTGCTAGGCTAATCTTCACAGCCAGCCCAGAGCAAGTCTTCTCAAAGTCACCAGGCTGCATGCTGAGGAGAGATGACTAGTGAACAAGAGGAGGCCACAGTGTCTGAGTCTAAGTCAACAGACTGCTTCCTTTGCTGAGAAATTCTTACTGCCAAAACCAAAATATCCAAACCACACTGAAGTCCACTGAACAGAGGTAAGCTCTGAGGCCGGCTGCTGGTGAAAGCGTGGCATCTCACTTTGGGCGGGCACAGATCAGGGCCATTCCAAGCAGCACTACTGTGTGGATCACTACCTCACTTACAAGAGAGCAAGCCATGGTTCCACTGGGCCAAGGAACAGCTCCCAGGCCAGGAACTAATCAGCAACAGAGTGAGGATCTGTACCCGTGTCCTTAGTAAATTTCCCTTCTGCTCAGCCACATAGAGAAGCTCACACACAGCTGCTGAGGACAATCACTACTTGGCACCTGCAGCAGCACTGCCCCACAAGTGTACCACCAGGAAGGCAGGAAGCATGAAGCGGGCATGGCACAGGGCCAGAGGCAGCAGGCATTAGGGGGAGCTTCTAGATGGACAGAAAGAAAACCCCACAATCCCCACTGCTCCCAGGGTACTGCTTTTACTTTCAAGTTTTACTCTGAGAGGGAGACTCCCAGCAGATCAGAGCATCTTGACAAATCTAGGCCCAAGGGAGAAATGGTCCTGGTTTTGAAATCAAAACACACTTAACTCCTACCTGCTCTGCATATCATGTGATCTAAATTTCAGTTTCCACATCTGTAATTGGGGGCAAGCACAGCAACTGGTTTCTCACAGGGATGTGTTTGTGGACTAAATATAGCAAAAAAATGCCCAAGCACTGAGTTTGGCACCTGGCAGAGAGCAGTGCTTACTAAGTTCTAGCCTTCCATATCAGAAAAAACTAGTTTTCCTCAATCTAAAGCCTATGGCTCTGCTTCAATCATTCCGTCCTTTCAAATCCTAAATTCTATGTCTATTATACACATGCATGCAATGGTTAGAGGCAAAAGCACTGAGTGAAGCAAACACTGACATCTGTCCCCATGTTCCATGGATGGCTGATTGCCAAGAGAACAGTAACTTGTGATGTGGCAGGTCAGTTTAAACATTTCCAATGAAACATCACTTATTCATTGCAATATATTGACAACATTACACTTATGTGTGACATACTATACTCTTCCATGCATTAGGGAGATACAAAGCTATGCTCACTTACTGGAAAATTTACCTTTCTATGATGTTTCCTTAAGTTGCTAGGCTAACAAGACGCATGCAAAGAAATAGACACCAGATTTATGACACGATTTAAAGCTAAAAATTCAAGGATCTACTCAGGCAAATATATTACAATATGAAGGACAAGACAGAAATAAGAGAGACAGGATTTAGAGAAAATATAACTGGAAATCAAATAATCTTTTATCACAAATTTAAATCTAAGTTATCCAAGATTTATTAGAAAACACTATAAATTACTACTCAAAGAGCACATTCTATTTGAACACATGCGATTTAAAGCAAGACACTGTATAGAACAAAGGGCCCTGATAACCACCTACTCTCTAATATTCCCATGATGACAAGGATGTTACAGCAACATCTATTATAAAACTGAAGAGCCAGGCATGGTGGTGCAGACTTGTAATCCCCGCATTTGTGAAGCTAAGCCTGGAGAACTGCCAACCTGCACTACATGAGTTCAAAGCCAGCCTGAACTGCATGGTGTCATCCTGTCTCAGAAAAACACAAAAAACTGAACAAACTTATTTTTAGTTAATCATTTTTTGTGCAATGCAGTAAAATCTTCACCTAGAATATGATTTACAACTTCCTAAAATATATCATTTATCCCTCGTGCAGTGGCATACACATGAAATCACAGCACTCTGGTAGGCTGAGGCAGGAAGGCTGCCAAGTTTGAGCTCATCTTGGTGATTTAGCACGATCCTGTCTCACAATAAAAAATAATACTGAAAAAAAAAAAGGGTCATGTGTGTATCTCAGTGCACAGGCCTAGATTCCATCCGAGATACTGTGGAATACAAAGGAGTGGAATGGAATGGAAAAAAAAAAAAGAAAGAAAGCTAGGCATCCTAAAATACGTAACAATAAAAGCTAGCACAGTACTAGATAGGAGGCATTTTAATTAAAAAGTAGTCCATTAAAGACTATAGCATATGCCCTATAAGTTGATGAGATTTAGAATTCTGATTATAATCAATAAAATCTGATTCGTATTGTCTGTATAAAGTTCCCATAAATTTTACACTCAGCAGTGGCCCCTCCCCTTGCTCCTGCAGTATGCAGGGTTGAATCCAGCTGGGCCACTCAACAAACTACACTGCCAGCCACGTTTATATTTTTATTTTGACATAGCACATTGCTAAACTTCTCATGCTGGCCTCAGACTTAAAATCCTCCTTCTTAGCTTCCCCAGTAGCTGGCATTACAGGCATGTGCCACTGCAGTGAGCCCAGATTATTTTTTAACCTAGGAAATACTTCACTCATGAATCATGCAGATCCTGTACAATCTAAGGAAAAACATTCAACCAATTATATCTTGCTTGTAACCACATTGACAAATTATATATTAAATATAATTGATCACTACTGAGCAAAATACATTTTTAATGACAAAAACCCCAAGCCCCACTAATCAGTCATAATCCAGCTCAGACTCACACGTGCTTGCCTGGTTAGCTGTGCAGAGCCATCATAGAATGGGGAGGGGCTGAGAGGGGAGCTTCATGGACAAACTACAAATTGATAGGGACCTGAGGCCTGGATTAGAATTGAATCTGGAGATGGTTAAAATAAAACAAACACAAGGGTGGCATAAGAAATCAAAACCAACAATGGAAGCACACAGACCGTCAGCCAGCATGCTGAATTAGAGAACCAGGAAGAAAGAGTTTTCCTCCGTGGTTGTGTGTGGTACTGGGAATAGAAGGCAGGGGTACTCTAACACTGAGCTATGGTCCCATATTTTTTTCCTTTTAATTTCAAAACAAGGTCTTGCTAAATTGGGCAGCCTACCCTTGAACTTATGATTGTCTGCCTCAGTCTCCTGGGTAGCTAGAAAGATAGGGTTCACCCACTATGCTTGGGATACTCAGCTCTTTTTGAGTCAGTGTCTTCCTAAATTGCCCAGGCTGACCTTAAACTGGCAAACCTCCCACTTCAGTCCACAAGTAGCTGGGATTACAGATGTGTTGCTGCACTTCTTTTACAAATACTGGAAAGAAGGACACAACTGATAAATGAGATTGTCAAAAAGATGAAAATACAATGCCAGGCTTGGTGCCACATGTCTGTAATCCCAGCATGTGAGAGGCTGAGGCAGGAGAACTGCCATGAGTTCAAGGCCAGCTTGAATTACACCACAAGATCCTTTTTTCAAAAAACCAAACACTAATAAATAAAATAAGTTTGAAAAGAAGAAAAAGGGTCAGGGATATAGCTCCATGGCATAGCACTTGCCTGTCAAGCAGAACATCATGAGTTCAATTCATAGTACCAAAAGAAAAGAAAAAAGAAAAGAAAATGGTTTGGTGAGTGGTTTGGTGCTTGCCTCGTATGTGAAAAACCCTAGGTTCAAACCCAATATGCCCAAAAAAAACAGGAAAAGAAAAGAAAAATATTGCTCAGTTAGTTAACAGTATAAATTATAAATACATCCAAATGTCACAAAACAGACTGCTGACACTGAACATTCCACTAAAATGACTTGCTTAATTTGATTATATTCTGGCTAAGAATGCCACTAAAAAGTAAAATGTATAGCAAGAGAAATAAAACCAAAGATACAAGTACAGGTGCAAAGCAGAATGTTGTAAATACAATTTCACATGAAATGAGATCTCATAGGCAAGATAAGCACAAAGCCTTAACTACCCAAAAACTATTCACACATTAGAGCTGATGTAACATCCAAAATTCAATACCATACCTCTGTGCCTGAGGAAAAATATGAAAAAATTAGAAGACACCTGATAATGCTCCCTTTGCCACAGTCCCAGAGAATACTCACATCTCTTTAGCGAACTCAAAGCACAACTAGTACTGAAAATCCTTGTTTAAGGAGTGCATGTACTTGAGAAGCTGAACATAAAGAAGAACACATGATGACAGCCAAGAAGCTGCAAAGATGAAGAATCCACATGAGGGTGGAGGACAAACTCCCATAAACTAAGTGGGAAAAGCTGGGCAAGTTCTCCTCTACCTTTTTAAAAGACCACAGAAAAGGAGAAATTTCTCAACCAGGGGGAGGCGGTATGTCACGATCTGACAGCAATACTGTGTTGTATTATTCATATTTATACTCATTCAACAGTGCAAATGCTGAAAATAACCGACCAAGGAAAGGACAAAAAAAAAAAAAAAAAGGAATCATTATCCTTAACACTCCAAGCACTCAACATTATGACAACCCTGTAATTTTTATCACTTATTTCATGAACATCTCGTTCCAATTTCTTGTTCATCTCTTCAGACTTGATGAGATCCTTTCTTGCTGTGTCAAGATTTTCTTGCAGCTCTGACACATGGCTGGAAAGTGCAGCCAGGAGCTCCTTCATCTGACTCTGCTCTTTTGAATGTTTGTGTATGACTTCTTGGAGCACAATTATTTTGGCAAGGTCTTCCTCATGGCTTAAGGAGCCAGCAGAAGATCTCTGATGGGTAAAATGGACACTCTTAAATAACCTTAGTGTACTACCAAATAAAATACTTTTGAACATAGGGACTATCAAAATGGATTTATGCCATCTGTTGGATGATAGGACTCTCAACAATCACTTTAGCTGGAAGCAGGCCATTCCAGCAACAGCATCCAAACAGCATCACACACGCACGAACCACAAAATATAAGAAATCAGCAACAGAACAAAGAGAGATCTCAAGGACTTACCTTTCCATTAGTGCTTGGTGTTTCTTCTTGTTCATGGTCAAGCACTCCATCTCTTGGTGATTTTTTCTCATTATTCTGTTTTTTAAGAGTCATTAGCTACAATCGAAAACTGAGTATGAGACTACAATAACTTATGGAAGAGTAATGAGTAAAGACAGCAAAATTCCATTTGGAAAAACATAATTCTACAGTGCTGAACATAGTATAAAAAAGACAGTACATGCCAAAGCTGACCATCCATAGCAGAACCAGATTACTAGAAACAGAATGTACTGACTGCTTGACAACAAATTTAGAGATTCTTGCAATCTGAAATAAAAATCTAATCCAATAGTATTACAGGCTTCACACTGTTTTTTAAGAGATTAAAATAAAATAATTTTCCCTTTTCAGGGCTAGGATGATGTCCCACAATTACCTCCTTCTGTGTGGCGCCCAGTTCCTCTTCCAGCAAGCTGCACCTTTGCAGTGCTACACGTAATTGCTCTCGCACCTGAAAAGAGTTGAGTTTTTATATGCATACGCACACTTTCCATATAGTTATCCTGATATTGATGAAAGGCATATAATAAAGTACTTTCAATGTCTTTCATTGCTAGTACTGTCAAGAAAATGTCCTTGTTAATGGCTTTAAATATTAAGGCCAGGAAACTCTTGTTCCTAAATAAATGAACACTATCCAGTTCTTAATGGGCAGTCAATATTCAGAAATAATCAATTGAAGACTCACATTCCAGTTAGTGTTTGTTGATTATGCAGAACATTGCCTTTTAATACAGAAAGTCTGTTTACAAGAACTCAAAAACTTAGCAAACCTTAAAGGTAAACAAACACATGCAAAGTCTGCCATGAACCCAGCAAGTGTAAGAACCCAGAACCACTAGTGTAGCTCATGTACCTCTTCGTCCAGGGTCTTGTGGTGGTCAAATAAGAATGTCAGTGCTTTTAGCACTTCCATCTCTGTGGACACACCTGCAGGACACCGCGCCTGCCGCTTCATCACAGTCGTTTCGAGAGAGCGTTCATGCCTGGAGACAAGGAACTCCAGATGTTCCAGGAACAGCTGAAACCAGGCCAAAGGGGGCGTGTAAAGAGCACCTTCAATTTCACATTCAAATCCTTCATAATCTCATGGTCAAACAAGTTCAAATTCCTACAATTCAGTAGAGTTAGGTAAATTTCCCTCAATTGTATTCGAATGTCATGAATTTCCATCACTAATTTCTTTTATTAACAAGAAGGTCTCATTTTGTAGTCTAGGCTGGCTTGAGGACTTACTAGCTAGCCCAGGCTGACCTCTAACTCAAGACATTCCTGGCTCAGAATGTTGGGATTGAAGGCATATGCCACCATGCTTTGCCTTCTATCACAAATTTTAAGCAACATTTAATACTGAACACACTCTACAGAAGGAAAAAGCACAAAACACTTAAACCAGAGCTCCACTGACCCTCATGTTGTTCCTTTCTGCTTTCAGCTCAGCAATTTCTTTTTCCTTCTCAAGCAGCTGTTCCCTGCAAATGTTGAGCTCTTTTGCAAGCGTTGAAAACTCCTGCAAAGCAGCAAAGTAAAGGAATAAATCAACACATACATGAATAAATTTTAAAAAAAAAAAAACCTCTTAGGCAAGACTTCCATTGGCCTCATAGTCCACACACACAGGCAACCCAATCTCAAGATACATGGCAAAGGATTCCCATTCTCCTCCAGAGAAATGGAGATCAACCATTTGCCGTAAGGTGACATAGGTATTCCCAATGGAATGAGAGTCTAACCCAGGCCATCTGACTTCCCTCCACCCTGGCACTGCTGAAAGCACAGCAGGGGATAATGAGTGTCCAGGTCCACCTCTTTAGACTTCAGGAAATAAAAGCATTTTCCTCAATTGGCATCCCAAAATGAAGCATCTGAAGACATTTGTAAGTCAGTCACAGATCTGAGACCTAGAGCCCTTAGAGAGATCAAGGAAAAAAGGCCTAGAAGGTCACTATCCAATTCTAGTCCCCTCTCTATTCTGATTTTCCCTTAGTCCCTATAGTCTCCCTGAATCATTGGAGCAAAGTCAACTATGAAGAATGGGCTTACTGCTAGGACTAGGAAGCCTTTTGTATTCTCTGTAAAGGCATTCTCAAAACACTATGCATGCAGCAGTGTAGGAGATCTTGCAAAAGGCAGAGAGAAGCTGCAGGAGTCCTGCAGCACTGTTCTGTGCTAAACCTTGTGTTATGACACCGGTTCACAGATACCACAAATGAACTGAATTGAGCAATGTGAATTTGGAGCAAAGCAACTCTGAAATAAGTAAAATCATCTGCCAGTGTTTCTGGCTTTAGGTGCTTTTCCTTTAAAAGACAAGAATAAAGATCTACCGGATAAATAATCAGTCCTTCAAAAGAACATGTGCTTGAGCTAGATAATTCTAGAAAGCTAGTTTAACACAGGCGGTGCTCTTACAGGGCACTGGTAGCAATTGTTTGCAGCTCACAGTCAATCTCATCACAGAAAGCACAGGCCCATGAAGTCTGCTTTAACCAGACCACGACTCATGTGCCTATGTGAGCCACAGTGAGATTGGGCAAGTAAAGTGAGAGAGAAATAGAGATGACACTGCCACAGAAAGCACTGGAAAAGAGCAAAATTTCTTTTAAACTAGCTTTTCTTCTCCAAAAACTCATGACTGTGGGTGAGCCGAACTTAGCCTGGCAGGAACTTTGCAGCCTGCTCCCCAGGGAGACCTGAAATGATGAAAATCACTCTTCAAAGCTTCTGGAAATGGCTCAAAGGATAACAGTAAATGAGGAAATTATCTATTCAAGAAATATCAGGAATAAGGCCAGGAGTCCATGGTATTTGAATTAGGACTTCTATTTGCCTCCCCCACCCAGCTCAGCATAGCGGACTCCTCCAGCCAAAAACACAGGGCCCTTCACCAGGCCAAAACCATGGTGGCTCCCCAGATAACAACATAGAGATTCTTCTCCCCAGGCCAGCAGAGCCTTCTCTTTCCCAGCTAGCAACACATGATTCTCATATCCAGACCAACTGAAGGCCCCTTCTTCCCCCAGGCCAGCAAGGTAAGGTCCTTTCCCCAGGCCAACAACACAGGCTCTGCTCCCTGGACCTGCCATGCAGGATTGTCTCCTCACACTCAAATGCCCCCTCACCAAGGCCACTAACATAGGGTCTGCTTGCTCCTGCCTGCCAACCAGGTAAAAATCATCCAAATGTGTCTTAAAACCTGACAGAGTTCCAGCCAGTGTTGAGACATCTTCATAGGCCCAAAGCCAACCTTCAGGAATGGGACTTGTGGATGCGAAGCAGTAGGGGAAAGGGTATTGGCCAGCCGGCCATCTAGACTTCTGTCATGTTCTCTACTAAGTGTGAGCTCTTCCCTGTGGTACAGATTTCTCCTGTAGATGCCAACACGGCCCTGATCGAGGTACTAACTGGCATTGGCCATGGTGATAAGCAAGAGCTCACTGTCAGGTCACCTAATAAGTACCATTCCTGACAGAGTGTGCCCTCTCTCTAATGGAATCTTTTATCAGAAAGATTCTGGGGCAGGTAGAAGAAAAGTAGACTCTAGTTACTCTAAGTCAAAAATCAAATCAATTCTATTCACACACCTATCACATCAATAGGTGGGCCTGGCTCTAGGCCTGCCTGAATTGAGGGCCTTGAATTTTTCTCATTTTGTCTCTCTTGCTGCAATCTGGCTCACCTTTGGTGACTTACTGCCAATGCTCCGTCTTTGACCATGTCCACAACAGACTGTATCATTCTAGCTAAGGTCTGTTTCATTTACTAGATTCCAAGTTGTTTTTTTGTCATACCTGCTTCGTTTTACCGCCAGTCCCTGTTACTATGGATGTTAATCTGTCTCTAAGTATCATGCTCACTTATTTTGGCAGTTTTGGCAGATTCTCCACCCATTTGTGATCGAGTGAAATAGGCACCTGTTTGTGAGTAGTCATCTCTGTAAGCGTGTCTTAGTATTATCTATTTTTAAGCACTGTGGAATCTAGTTTCATGCTCATCTAGATGAGGAGGCTTTATGTTGTTAGCAGTCTCCCTCTCCCAGTCACTTCCAGCTACTATAAAAAAAAAAAAACTACCATAGTCATAGGCTGGGTATTAATAAACAACAGATAATTATTTCTGACAGTTCTAGAGGCTGCAAGTCTAAAATCACATAGGATACAATGTTAACTTAGGATACAATCTTAAATTAGGATATATAACATATGATATAATCTTAACAGATAAACAGACAAATTCTGTATCTTTCTCTCTCTTTTTTGAGATAAGGTTTCATTATACAGTTCTGGCTGGCCATGAACTCACACTGTAGTCCAGGCTGGCTTCAAACTCCAGCAGTCCTCCTGTATCAGCCTCCTGAGTGCTGGGATTACAGGCATATACCACCTTGTCTGACTCTCATTTCTAATTGTAGTAACAAAACAAGACTGCTGTGGGCTGGGGTAATCAGAGCATGCTTACTTAGTATGTTCAAGGCCCCGTGTTTAACGTCCAGCAATCTCATCTCTAAAGAAGGCCATCATGCTTGAAATTACTAACAAGAATCATAAAAGTTCAAAACTATTTTTGGGAGGGACCCAAAAATCAAACTTAAGACCATGTTGTTTACCAGGCATCATTTAAAATTTCAGGTTAAAACAATCATTTGTTAAAATAGAAAAGAAAAAAGAAGAGGTAAGGCACTATACTTATGCTCCACCCACAAAAAGAGATTCTTGCACCAAGACTCCCCTACATTGGCCCCGCTCTGCCCAGAGCGTTCTACGCTCATTGAACCAGGCCTTCATTCTGCCTCTGTTCTCTTGTGAGAGGAAACCCAAGGCTAGGACCCACTGCCTTGTCTCAGACCTTTCTACAAGTGCCAAGAAGTCACCTCGCTCTGCCAGGTAAAACTAAAGTGTAAAAGTAACCATCCCATACCAGTCTTTGTCTGGTCCATATTTGCTGTCCTTAGACTCATTGCTAGGCTAATTTTCATAGCCAGCCCAGAGCAAGTCTCCTCTAAGTCACCAGGCTGCATGCTGAGGAGAGATGACTAGTGAACAAGAGGAGGCCACAGTGTCTGAGTCTAAGTCAACAGACTGCTTCCTTTGCTGAGAAATTCTTACTGCCAAAACCAAAATATCCAAACCACACTGAAGTCCACTGAACAGAGGTAAGCTCTGAGGCCGGCTGCTGGTGAAAGCGCGGCATCTCACTTTGGGCGGGCACAGATCAGGGCCATTCCAAGCAGCACTACTGTGTGGATCACTACCTCACTTACAAGAGAGCAAGCCATGGTTCCACTGGGCCAAGGAACAGCTCCCAGGCCAGGAACTAATCAGCAACAGAGTGAGGATCTGTACCTGTGTCCTTACTAAATTACACTTCTGCTCAGCCACATAGAGAAGCTCACACACAGCTGCTGAGGACAATCACCACTTGGCACCTGCAGCAGCACTGCCCCACAAGTGCACCACCAGGAAGGCAGGAAGCATGAAGTGGGCATGGCACAGGGCCAGAGGCAGCAGGCATTGGGGGGAGCTTCTAGACTGACAGAAAGAAAACTCCGCAATCCCCACTGCTTCCAGGGCACCGCTTTTACTTCCAAGGTTTCCTCTGAGAGGGAGACTGTCAGCAGATCAGAACATCTTGAAAAATCCAGGCCCAAGGGAGAAATGGTCCTGGTTTTGGAATCAAAACAGACTTAACTTATACCTGCTCTGCACATCATGTGATCTAAATTTCAGTTTCCACATCTGTAATTGGGGGCAAGCACAGCAACTGGTTTCTCACGGGGATGTGCTTGTGGACTAAATATAGCAAAAAAATGGCCAAGTACTGAGTTTGGCACCCGGCAGAGAGCAGTGCTTACTAAGTTCTAGCCTTCCATATCAGAGAAAACTGTTTTTCCTCAATCTAAAGCCTATGGCTCTGCTTCAATCATTCCCTCCTTTCAAATCCTAAATTTTCCATCTATTATACACACGCATGCAATGGTTAGAGGCAAAAGCTCTGAGTATAGCAAGCACTGACATCTGTCCCCATGTTCCATGGATGGCTGATTGCCAAGAGAACAGTAACTTGTGATGTGGCAGGTCAGTTTAAACATTTCCAATGAAACATCAGTTATTCATTACAATATATTGACAACATTACACTTATGTGTGACATACTATACTCTTCCATGCATTAGGAAGATACAAAGGTATGCTCAGTTACTGGAAAATTTGCCTTTCTATGATAGTTCCTTAAGTTGCTAGGCTGACAAGACGCATGCATAGAAATAGACACCAGATTTATGACACGATTTAAAGCTAAAAATTCAAGGATCTACTCAGGCAAATATATTACAATACAAAGGACAAGACAGAAATAAGGGAGACAGGATTTAGAGGAAATATAACTGGAAATCAAATAATCTTTTATCACAAATTTAAATCTAAGTTGTCCAAGATTTACTAGAAAACACTATAAATTACTACTCAAAGAGCACATTCTGTTTGAACACATGCGATTTAAAGCATGACACTA